AAGTTAATACAGGATGCACCGTTTATTCTTTACTGCGATTTGCACCACCCATTGTGAAGAAACGTGCGGAACCTAATTTTACAAGGAAACAAATTTAATCTAAATTTTTGAGCCTGGTCGGCACCTGGTTCAAAATCGTTAAACACATATGCACCTATTTGAGATATATCTTAAAAATGAGGTTTTTGCTATAGCATCAGGGCCCTTTAAATAGGCCATTTCCAAATTACCTTTTGGCCTCTTTTTCAAAACGAGGCCTGAGGCCCGATGCCCAACCATTCGTATGAAAGTGAGTTTTATGTGCATGTGACTGATGATCGGACGAGCAACACGACTCGCTTAAAAAAGAGGCCAATAGTAATTCGACAATGGCCTATTGACCACCGAAAAGAGTTTCGTAAGCTGAGATTTCGATCGTCAGCCTCTGTAATTCAGCGGCGAATAGTAAAATCCCTCAAGGCCATTCCAGTTAATTAATTGGGTATCAAGTGCGCTCTGTGATGAAATTTAAATCCACAGTAATCATGACGGAAAATGAGTTTCTCTGGGTGTGTGAGCATTTTTCCCTTCTCTTATTAATTTCTTTGCATAGATTTCTCAAGTTCCAGCATCAAAAGAGGAAGATGAAAACGAATTGTACTTAAAGCTATTTGAAAAAAAAAATGGTTCGGATTTCGTTCATTCTACACACCTTATTCGTGTGTAAAAAGGGGGGCTTCTCGTCATAATCACATTGCGAATTTTAAACTTCAGAAATTTGGTCAGATCTGGGTCAAACCTAAGAAGGCCCCCACCATTAGCATTAGGGCGCACCGAAACATAAGATGTATCCTAAGGAAGGCTATGTGACAAGAGAAGCTGTTGTTATTGTTGTTGTTGTTGTTTTTTCTTTGGCTGAAGGGACTTGAGTTATAATAATATGTTTATTTCATCTTATTCTTCAGAGTCTGGTGGTGGCTACCGCAGTACTTCCAAGGCTTTCATATTTTCTCTCCGAAATCAAGAAGGACTAGCACCTTTCAAGAGCCTAGTGACTAGGCCTACAAGTGCTGTCTACAGCCATTCACGTTATGGTCCAATTTTTGGGGGTGTTTACAGTAGGTTTATGACTAATTATAACCACGACATATTAATCGCAGATAATGCAAACAGTAATGTAGAATCCTTTGCATGCCTTGGCTATTCTTATTCAGTCCCAAGTGGGGCAAAGAAAGGAAGAAGAATTCTGACTGGGACTAACTATTTCACACCTGACGAGGTGGAGGTTTTCTATCTTGGTTGAATCACCATCGTCGTCCTGACTCCATCATTAATGCTAGTAAAAATTATACTTTAATTCAGTGTACCCTTCGGCTTGATTGGCTGACACACAGACCTTTTAAAATTAGTCTCACGCTCCCCATCTTTTTTTTTTAAGAAAAAGGGCGGTATCGTTTGCTTTTGTTCTAAATATTTCAATATAAAAAAGGTTGAAGGGACTGTAGTTCGTAAATTTTGACTTATGCATAATGGGTAAAATTCATGAGGTTTGTCGGTTTTTCAATGTTCACGGTTGCCTAATTTAGATGTGAGAAACGAAAATATTCCCATAAACTTTCAAAGACTATATTCTTGAAAGAGATAGAGAGTTCAACATTTTCCTAAGATGTTCTAGATTCTATTCCACACAACTGATATATCAACAGTGTGCGAAGAACTAGATTCCGATCTCAGTATAGAGACACTTGATTCGATTACGGAATCTTATAAAAAGAAGACTAAAAATCGCCGGTAAACTTCCATTTTTAACTTTAGATAAATATGACTAAGTTGTCTTTATTTACTCTTTAGGACAACATCATAGTTTGAGCTGAGTTCTTTAAAATGGTCGTGAACGATGCATATGATCGACCGAGTCTGTTGTAAGTACAGCTAAGATAGGGACGTGATCCAAGATTAAAGACTGGCTGGAGACAATCAATTTCTCAATTGCCATATTACTCGATATCTTTAAATTACACTTAATAACAATCTTTTTTCTTTTTTTTTTCTAGACAGGTATTTACAATATTGAGTTGTACTATATCTCATTTAGAAGAGGACAAAGTAAGCTTTACAGAAAAAACTACTTTCTTTCCTAAAATACATGTCTGATAAAATCACGGAAACAAATTGCATGAAATTTGCATAACTCCTTTGCATAAGTTGTGACTTTGAAACAGCCTTGACCTAAACCGAGTAGAATTTTAAGATAACTTAACAGTAGAAAATATTTGTTATTAAATGGCACAACATCCAGAGAATTTAGCTGAAAAAGAACACATACAGAATTAATTAGAATTTGTTTTCAAACTGTACCCAAAATCATAAAAATTGATCCAGATTACTGAAAAAAATTTTTTTTTTGAGTCAGACGTGTACAGATATAGCATTAATTACAAAAGCTGTGGAGCAATCTTTCCATCCTTAACACTATGCTCAATAAATTTCATGATTGCATCCCCACAAAAACAGCACTTAGCATCCTCAGGACATGCTTTTCACAGACCACAATAACAATAAGATGGATCACTGAATACCCTTTCTGGGATGTAGGCTACATTTTTGCATGCAGATTCTGGCTGCTGAAAACCATGCTGAGGCAGCCAAATCAGCATCACATATTCATGTCTAAATATTTCAACCCATCT